TCTCTCTCTGTACAAAGATACCCTTGCACAATATGGTGATTCACAACCAACAGTTAACTTTATTGCACGCATTGGAAAATTAATTAGAATAATGACATCACGTGCATATAAAGATGCATTATATAATAATTCAAAAGAAGTTGAATTTTTGAAAGATTTTTTGGATTTTCTTAAAAAATGGGAAGCTCTTTGTGAACTGAAAGGTTTTGGATGTATCAGCAAAAGTACATCAGATGGATTAAAAATCACAGTGAAAATTACTTTGTCTATTTTAGAATATCTATCAAGAGAATTAGGATATAAATATTTGATGACAGCAAGATTAAGTCAATATAAGTTGGAAAATCTCTTTAGTATCATTAGACAATCCAAGGGTTGTAATGACCATCCTAATCTTGATGAATTTTTAACTACTGTATTGTGGAATGTTTAAGTTTTTACAATTTAGCTAAAACACCAAGAAATGGCAATACTTTTCCCAATATTATTAGCTCTTTAATATGTCCAAAACAGCAATTTATGAAGAATGATCAGTCCAGATTTTTTAGAATTGATAATTTTCTTGAAAGCGGAAAATTATTAAAGACTAATGAATATTTAAAATGTGAGAAACTAGAACATTCAGATATTATTCATCAACACAGTAATTTGCAATTAATTTATTATATTTCTGGATATGTGGTAAAAAAGTTTTTACCAAAAACATCCTGCACTGATTGTAAAAAGTGTCTTGATGCAAAATCTATTAATGCAACTGATATACATCCAGAATGTGCAGAATTTACAGAGCTTACTCCAAAATTAGCAAGATGGTCTTTATTACTTGACGAATTTGACTATGAAGTTGTCCATAGAAAAGGCAGCCAGATGAAGCATGTGGATGCACTAAGCCGCAATGCAGTTTTACTAATTACGCGTTCTTCCGACGAAATAACAACAAGAATTGTTTCTGCACAGGATACAGATGAGGATATAAAAGCTCTTAAGGATTCAGTGGGAAAGAGAGAGACAAATGATTATGTACTGAAAAATAACGTTTTATATAAATATGAAAACGGACTAGACCTGTACGTTGTACCCAAATCGATGCAAGATAGAAACAAGATTCGAGAAGATGCCAAACAAAACATCTTGAAACTACAGGAGGAAAATCGTAAATCCTACAATAAGAAAAGAAAACCAGCTCCCAAATATCAGGTCAACAACCTTGTTGCCATTCAGAGAACCCAGTATGGGACAGGACTCAAACTAAAACCTAAGATTTTCGGACCTTACAAGGTTACCTCGACGATGCCTAGGGACAGATATGCGGTTGAAAAAATTGGTCATCATGAAGGGCCCAATGTGACTGTTACTGCAGCTGACCACATGAAGTCATGGCCCATTGATCTTGACTGACATAAAGAACTTTTCCGGTTGAAGAAGGCGCGAAAAAGACGAAAGACGAAAAGGAAGTCTTCATTTGTTTTTTACAATAGTCACAATATTTTTATGTAATTTGCATTATTTAAAACGTTCCTGTTATCCAAATCTTTCTTATCGCAATTAAAGTTTTTTAAGAGGCAAAGAAAAGTCTCACATATATATAGAGGGGAGACCGGGGCAACTTCGGCATGCGGGGCAAGTTTGTCAAGCGCTTTTTTTAAACACAAATTAAAAGGAGACTTTGGTTATAGGTTAGGCAGTTGAGTTTTATTGGTGGCTTGTTGAGTGTAGCGTTTTTATTGTTCTCCAACAAGCGTAGTTGAATTAATAAGCAAATTTTCATTTTCGTTCAATTCCATATAATATTTTGCTTCCATTTATATAGAATTAGCATGTTTTGTTATAATTCCATGATAACGAAAGTTACTTTTCCTGTTAGAAGTATAAAACTTTAACTTATTCACGTGGCCAGATCATGGCTTGGTACCCTGTTCTCAGAGTTGTACTTAATGTTTCGAAATCATGACTAGTGGGGCAAGATCGGCAACATAAAGAGAATCGGTTTTAGAAAATGCGGATTCGAAGTAAACTAAAAGAAAGAGGCAGAAAAGTCCTATAGAATCAGAAAATGACGGTAAAAATACTTATTGTATATATTGCAATGAAAAATATGGCATTATTCAAGAGGTTATGCTGTAAATTTAAACTCTGGGCTCATATGGACTGTACGGATGTAGAAAATGAGTATGTTCAATTTATTTGTGATACGTATAGAGAATAAGAGAATAAACAATATGCTTTTATATTGCTTTTACATTGGTTTAGGATGTTTCATTTATTATCTGTTTGATTTTTTTTTGTAACTAATTTGTGTTTGCATTTTTATTTATTTATATATGTCTTTGAACTTGCATTTCGTTGTAATAATATTAAATGGGTGTTGGATTTGTATTTCTTTGTTTTAATAGAGAATTCCAACTTATACATTGTTAATAACATAATTTTATATACGTGCCTNTAAGTATATATATAGATGAACACCTAATGATAAAGTAGTAATAATGTAAACTTTAATAATTTTCTACAAAAGATAAAAAAATCTATGAAATTAAGCAGAACAAAAACAGATTATGTGACTCTGAATGGTAGAGAGGAGTGCAATACTGAAATCCAAAATGTGACACTTTCTGTGGTTTCAAGTTTTACGTATCTAGAGGCCTAAGTTCAAATAGAGGAAGGTTTGAACTCATAAGTGCAACATAGAATTCAATGTGGATGGCTAAACTAAAGGAAGTTGAACAATGTGTTATGTGACAAAAATGTTAGCAGCAAACTGAAAGATAAATTTTAAGCAGGAAGATGCAAGAATGCAGGTTAAAGTGGTTTGGCCACATAGAGCAAACTCATGAACATATGAACATTATGTTGGAAATAAGGTCAAAAAGCTCATGGTAAAAAAAAAAGAAGACCAATCCTGCATTGAAAAAATAAGGTGGAGAAAGACTTTAATCAAAGGGAACTTAAGAGAGAAGATGCCCTCAATAAAAAGAAATGGAGAAACATATTAGAGAAGGAAACACCAACCCCATATAATCAGAAAAAGACAAAGATACAAAAAAATAAATAAATAAATAAAATATTTTAATAAAAATACTTAATGTTTTCATGTAGTGATTTATGTCAGAGTTCAATATTCATAATTATATTCACAGTTCTGTACTTTGAATTTTTACTTATATGTAAATTGTACCATTTTACTGATATCCATTATAGGATTAAAAATAATGCATGGAATAGATACTCTAATAGACATGAACAATTATTTCCAATAAATTCTCATTATGAATTATTTAAACTTTTATTATTATAATATAAATATATATAAATACCTATGGCTGTTTTCCATTCACATTTCTATTTTTTAATGTTATGTAAACAATTACTGAAATGCATTTTACCTGAAATAAAAAACTGATTTAAAATTTTATATAAATTATAACATCTAAATATATATAATACTTCTCTTGTTAACATTACATTCAACAAACATAGCTGATAAATAATAAAAACATAACCAAAATCTGCTTAGCTGAAACACAAACTATAAAATGATTCCAGCACATATTTATTACAAATATTTTTGATCATATTTAACAATCATTCTAAAGTAGAAATTAATTAAAAAATAAAAATACATTTTAAAAGTAAGCAAACCAAATAATCATTAAATTTAGAATATAAAAGAGAACATTAAAACAGTAAAACTAATTGTATTCCCTTATTCAAGTTCAGAAATAAATGAATGCTTTTTTCTGCATTCATCTTAATGTAATTATCAGAAAATTTCAAATTATCCGACATGATTGCATTAAAACAATTCCAGTTTTTTTCTTTTTCTTTTATTTCATATGTTGTATCCTGTATCCTATATGTCAGTAAGTTTTTATTTTAGTTTTCTTACATTTATAATAATGATAATAAGTATGATAATAAAATAATAATATTTGTTTACTTTTCTTGTAATTATTACATCTGTTTAAAACATCCTTTGAAACATTTATATAAAAAACCTTACTAGGTAACTTTACGAATCATTATTAGTGTTGTAACGAATAGTATATTCGGCCTCAAACCAAATACCGAATATTCGGCCAGGAGCGTGGCCGAATAGCCGAATATTCGGCTTGATTAACGCATATATGAAAATTGGCGCGCAAACCACATTATGGCAAAAATCCTGCTCTTTATTGGCCCGCTGTGACTACGCTTCGCCAATCGCGTTAATTCTTGACAGTTGTAGTGGACAGACAAAAGTGTCATGGAAGTATGTGATAAGTGATGATATCAAATGTGGATAATAATGGAGTGACCTACACGTGTAAATAATGGAAAAAAAACAGAAAAGGACCGCAAAGTGAAAATATGAAAATAAATATAAAATTCAGTTGATAACATAATTGAACAAGTCGAGGCAGCTTACTGGCGAGAAATTCGCGGTTGTCAATGCCAAACAGTTGTTGTCATAGACTTCGGAAAGCTAAATGCTTGTAATGAAAGTCACTTAGCGTGCACGGGCGAAAGCCTGCGGCCGTTCAGTCTACCAAGCTGTATCGAATCTGTGAAATCATAACTATGACTTATACCTACGTCCTTTCTGTCTCTTTTCTCCGTTGTCACCAGGCTATGAGTCACGTAATTGTAGAATTGTAAATCTACGACGGAAAAGTGACGAATCGAAAGTATCATGAGCGCGTATTATGATGTATGCATACGTCGACTAGAGCGATAGAAGAAAGAGAAAGGGAAGAGCAAAGACGAGCGCTTAAAAAGAAGGATAGGCAAGGTCAGACCCTCTGATGTGCAACGATTCTCGAACAAATAGATGTGTACGTCTGCTGATCTTTGTAATTAAAAATTGTGAATACATGTGACTAATATTATTTTCTTTTTTATTTTGTGCATGTTAAAGTTATAAATAAATATAAACAAACAACACTAACCCTATAACATTAAATCTAAATACCAAAACGATTAATTTACTGTTTATTTTTTTTTTGTTATTTTTTACTCCTGCTTATACGTGTTTGGTATTCGGCCGAATAGTGATTAAATATTCGGTATTTGGCCCAATAGCAAAAAATGAGCCGAATAGGCAGAATACCAAATAGTAACCGAATATTCGTTACATCACTAATAATTATATTTGTAAATTTCAAATATTAATCAATGAAATTTGTTTCTGTTAGTAGATGAAATTCACAAGTTACTAAGCTTACAAATAACCAACAGTGCCTGCCAGATAAGGGTCATCAAATAGAAAACTGAGTTGAATTAAAATTGGAATTTAACACCTATCAAACAACACTTGTAACCTGAATGTTGAAAAATATATACACACTCCTAACACTGACTACTAAAATGAATTACAAAATTACTTTGTACTCATATATCACATTTAAAACAGTAAACACTATAAAACTCAATTAGATAATTCATAGGAGTTTCATAATCCTGCATCTATAGGTGTATAGGAATGCTTCCGGTAATTCAATCATCCAAACTATAATTTAATTATGTTTGTTTTTATTGATTACATACATGAATTTTAAGCCAACTTGCATTTTACGTCCCCCACATCAGTAACTAAAATTATTAAAAGGTAAGTGTAAGTACAAAATTAAATAAACATACTGATAATGAAACTGAACATACCCGTAATTCTTCCTTTCTATTGAAACAACCTTCTCCTTAATTCTAAAAGAACACAAATAATGATATAAAACATATTTCATACTAATACATACTGAAATATGTTCAATAAAACTTTTTTCACAATCTGAATCTGTGTTATTGACTTCAGACCCAATGCCAACAACTGACTGTTTGTTCACTCTGCAATTTCAAAAAATGCACAACAAAGTTTAAAGAATTCCTGAAAGTATATATAAAAGTTTAATAAGTCAAATGATGCAATTTTACTAATCTGCATACTAATGCTTTCATCCTCAAAATTTCATTAATTATATCAAAATCTTGAATTTAATTCAAATTAGAAGATTAATAATAAACAAGATCTTCATATAGGAATTTCAAGAAAACGGAAACATTAAACTTATTAAACATTAAACTTAATTAAAACTTGGTCTTTCATATCATTTTATATATTATTAATTGCTACTCTTATAAAATTCTAATTATCTTAAACAATAGAAATCGAAAACTTGCAACTATTAGACATTTTTCATGAGAAATATACAACAGTTTAAACATTCTATATAGTGTGAGACATGAATTCTTAAGATTTTTGTATTCTTATAAACAAGTATCATAATACAGTAATACCTTGACTTACGCTACCCCGACTTACGCAAACTTAGACTTACGCAATTTTCAAATCTTGTCAATTCGTCTTTTGTTTGAGCGCCAAGCAACTCTCAATTAGTCACTCCCCCCCACACTATTGTTCGGCTTACATGTTCAAACGTGTCATGCGTGATCGACACATAGCTACAATTTATTTTGTGTTATTTATTTCTGTGTTTGTTATATCTACAAAGACTTGAGAAACTCTATGTGGTGATTTCTTGTAACCATAAACGAATCAAAATACGAGATAAGATTAACGAAAACATTTATTAGCTTACATACATCCGACTTGGATTTTACACAAATTAAGAAATTATACCCTCACTTACGCGAATTCGACTTACGCAGTTATTGCTCGGTCCCACCTATTGCATAAATTTGGGGTATCACTGTATAAGATTTTGCATGTCAATGTTTTGTATTTTAGTCTAAAAAATCTTTCAATCAGATAAATTGTTAAAATTAATGTCATATAAAATGATAACCTGCAATGTCAAATTCATAATTTTTTTTTTTAATACCAGACCATACAGAATTCATAGAAATGTTTTTCTATGTACTAGCATCAGTTGTAAATTATAATTTTAATATAATTCTGAATGTGAAATTACATATTACAAAATTAAAATTACACTTTAAATTAAAATGTCATTTGCATAGCCTATATGCATTTATATTTTCTTATTTCATTTTTTTTGTAATTGTATTATATTTCTAAATTGTTGATAGTTGCTTTAATTATTTATATTACACTTTCGTCAACTTTGGATGCTCTTGTGAACTATGACTTTTTACACTGAGGGAAGAGAAATACACTTTCAAATTATAATACATTTAAAGTAATGTAATCCTGTTACATTCAATATGTTTTAATTTGAAATTGTGTTTTTCTCTTCTTTCAGAGTAACAAATCATTGTCAATGACAGTATAATACACATACAACAACATCCATTGTCAATGACAGTATAATACACATACTTCTGTAATGTTTTTTGTAAGTGGGTAATAACGACACTTTAGACTATAATCAATAGCAGCTTTAAAATTAAAAATTAAGTTTTTTAATACTGTACAGTACATACACTAATAGTACTAAATTAAGCTTTTTCGTGATGTTGCTTACAGTAACATTTTAAACAATAATAAATTTCTGCAAAGACACAGCACAGTGATTTTATAGCATGTCATTTTACTGTTAACTGAGTGTCATCTGATCCATACTGACACCATTCCTTTCAATCAAATTCAAATGTATCATTTAGTCATTGAATTCATTCCAATGTTTATTTAAAAATGATGACAAAAACAATCAATTATTTCATCTGACAACAGATAAGTTTGCATAAGGATTCCAAGAATTTTGTCTATTGGCTAATTTTCATCTTGTAGTTTTATAGTTTCAAGTCAAAATACATCATTATGTGATTGACTCGATACAAATTTTATCACATTCTCCAGATTTATACAATCAACAGCAATAAAAAAATATGCATTTATTGATTTCAGTAACATAAAAACATTACAGTTTAAATAATTTCCTTTTTTTAATTATTAACCAAATCAAAGAAATTTCTGCCCATTGATTTTTGATTTTCTTTCTCATTTGTATCTTGTGTGAAAATGTCAATTATTAAAGCCATTAATGGTAATTGGTTTCTCTAATACCAATTTCAAAATATTCATAATTTAATTCATATAACTCGAATTTATTGCATATTCATATTAAGAAAGCATTATAATTTTATACAAATAGACTTTTATTGTTATTTAATTAAATATTTTCCATTCTGACAAAGACATTGACATAAAGTCAACTCAAAAATTCCACATTCTTCGTTTCCCAATCCTCATGGATAAAATCCAGCAACCAGTTGCTTATCTTTCCAGGTATCAGTTAGTGGCGCCATCTGTTATAATATTTTATTATTTAAAACTTTTTATAATTTTAATCATTATAAAATGGCAAAAATGCTTAATTTTGAAAACAGAGATAAGTTTTATAAAAAAAAATTATAAATGTTAATGAGCAAAATCGTCATCAAGTAACTGCGTACTCGAGATTTTACACGACCCCTTTTTCTCCACACCCCTCACCTTTAACCACCAAAATTCAATATCATCGATCCCCCTAACACTAAAACCTCCCTGCAAAAATTAACAGATTTTCGACAAAAAGCACAGAAATCATTAAGCTTCTAAATGAGTAAAGAAAATCGTGCTCCACACATGAAAAAAAGTAGGAAATGTTTTTGCATTTCTCGACGTTTCAAAGTCTCCTAGCTTCGAAAATGTGAAATCGTTAAGGGACCGATTGCTGTACCTTTCCTCTATTACGTGTAACATCTGGTAAAGTAATATTCTACAGAATAGAAGGAAAGAAATTACCAATTATTCAGTAATCAACGAATATTTAACGAATAAACGCACGTTTAACAGTTTTTGTATTGCTTGTTCTAATTTTAGGTTTGATTAGGAGGGAAGAGAGCACCTTCGTTTTTTACTTCCAGCCCGGAGTAAAAACTGAGTGTCTCTTGAATAGCTCGAAACTCGAATCTACTTATATACCAAGTGAAACCACAGGTCAGAGGGTGTCATCGCGTTCTTGCCATTATCTAAGCTTACAGCTAAGACTTTTTTCAAAACTTTGCTAAAAGTTCGACTGTCCAGTCTACTCGCTAATGAAATTCTGAGAATCGACTTTTTCGATTATACATATTTGTGTAATAATTCATATACACGCCTATAAAATATTTTTCTCGTAATAATAATTTTCGCCCTCTATCGGCGTGTTTCGTTACTACCGCTGAAATGTTATTTTTAGGTAATTGAAATTGAAATCGAATAAATGAAATTGCCTTCATTTTTTAAAAATTAATTTATATTTGTTAAATTATCTATAATAAATCGATTTTTTTATTATTGCTTTACTTTTTTATGTAATAAATATAAAACATAACTTTATTATTTCATTATCTATTTAAATAACATTCAAACTTCACAATTAAGCATGAAAACTCATTCATTTTTAACAAAAAATATAATAAATAACGTTTAAAATTCATAAATGAACAAATAATATTGGAAAACAATTTATTGAGATTTCTGCAGTTGAATATCCTCAACCAATTTGTTAAAAAAAAAAAAAAACTAAATACAAACACCTTATCTTTCATATTTCACTTTTCAATACGATATAAGATTATACATCAATTTTCTTTTTATTACATTCTAAAAAATTTTTTGCATAATTTGGCAGCCCATTGCAAACTTCTTACGCACCCCAAGGGAGCCGCGACCTGTTAATAAACACCGCTCTAGCAGAGAACTCTGTAAGCAGTGACGTCACAGATTCATTTCGCGAATTGAACTTTCAAGGCAGTCCGAAACAAAGTTGTGAACTTTCGCGAATTTGTCTTTATAGTACGACGGAAGTGTTTCGTAAGAAACAATATAAACAAAGTCAAAAATATATTTTCGAAACAACGTAATGCCACATAGAAAGAAATTTTCGTACAGCCGATTCAATCGATAAAAGCGATTTATTGCAGCATGTATCATGAAATATATAAGATTAATAGTAAGATGTTATAGAAATTGTTTTTTTTTTCCTTCCACAGTAAAAATTCTTTTATTATTATGCTACCTTTTCGAGTTAAAACATCAAGTTTACTCATATACTGCACTAATTCAACGATATTTCAGTGATGATTATTTAATTAATGACTGAAATACAACAAAAAACGTAGAAATATTTCACACTAAATAACTGCCAATTCAAAACAATACATTAAAGAAACAGTTTATTACACATTTCCCACAAGTTAAATGTGTTCTATAACAATTCTCAAATCGAGCGATAAAAATATTTAACATTCTGTAAATTGCAATAAACCAACAGCACAACAACACTTATAATAAGTTAAAACCATTATTCCACTTAAAAATAACCTTTTATTCCAGAAAAATCCCTTTTTTTCCAATACTTATGAAAAATTATAAATGCTAGTAAATTGTAAAATGACAAAATTGTAATTCTCGTAATAACAGAACAACTAAAAAGCATCCACAGTAATTAAATTCAATATGTACTTGATACTCTGATGTGACAGAAATTTGTACAAGTAATTTCTCAACGATAAATATGAAAAACTTACGAAATGATCAACTCGGTGTTTCCCCCGCTGAATAACCAGCAAGAAATCGCGATATGCAGAAATAAACAATAAAATAAGTAAAAAAAAAACTCTCGTCACATTAAAAGTAAATAAGATTAAATAAATATAGAAATCAATAATGATAATACAGTTAACAAAAAGATTCTAAAGCAATGGAAAACCTTTAACTACGCATTACGAAAAAACATGTCGAATGACATCACTCTTTATGTCACTCCACATCTGATATTAGCAGTAAAAGAATCGTAAAAAATTCGTTCACGCAGCTGGCTCAACGTGCTTACAAATTAACCCTGTTTATACCTTCTATACAAAATAAGAAAATTTGCATAAGGTTCAGCAGCTTTATTGTCTATGTCTACGGACCTATATGACTTTCTTTAAATTGCATGCGGCAGGCGACTGAACTCTACATGACCACACAGACAAGTACAATTGATCGCCTGTCAAAATCTTCATCTTTCACCCATACTTTAATAACACCAGCGTCATTTCTCTAAAGGGGTGTTCTCACTTTTCGGTACTAATCAACTTTCCTACTCGAAACAAATTACTGCAAATTTCCAAACATTCAGTTTAACAAGCATTTTGCAAGCGAAATTCTATAAAACTTTTCATAACTTGCACGCAATTACTTTTTATAAAAGAATAATTAACATATAAGTTTATAATAATGAACTCCCTCTAGAGGCGTGTAACGTTACTAATATTTTGTCAATCTGTGATGCAATTAACAGGCTATGGGTTTTATAATAAATCACGTTTCCTTAAAAACCTGTCTTTTCTTTTATATTAATTTTAGAAATATTTGTTAAGCATTTCAGAAAAGTAAATTAATTTGCTTGTTTTCTTCACTTCTTTTAAACCAACCGAAGGAAACATACTACTACATAAGCAATATGGAAGCGATACAGCGTACTATGCCCTCCTTCCAAATTATCAAGTCAAACGTGACAGAAATTACAATAAAGATTGTTCAAATATTCGGAATTATTGTGGAATTATATAGAGAATAACACAAATAACTACAAATATATGCGCTTCATATATGCGAATAATAGTTTTCACATTATTTCTGAAACGTATTTTGACTGTCTTTGTACTAATTAAATATTTTGATTCGCAAAGAACAATTAAAAATCGAATTGCCGTTAATCGTTTTTCTTGCAATTTTCTCATGAAAAAATTCTAACTTTTCAGAAATTCTAATAGTTAAATATCGCACTGCTTTTTATTCAAATTATAATTCTGAATACAAGAAATTGACTTGTAAAAGTCACAAATTATACATGTAAAGCTTTGATTATTTGAACAGGTATTTTCAGTATTAAAAAAACACAAAATAATATACCTCCTTAAATTAAGACGACAGGACTAAAAAAATTTGCATTATAGACTCCTGATAACCCAGAATTTTCACAAACTCGGTTTTCCTTCCGTCCACATTAGGCAGAGTTTTCAGGACTCTACTGTACTAGTATTACTTCAATCATACAAATAAATTAAGTAGTAGCATTCTTGATTAAAATTTAAATCTAGAGAAATAATAATACTAATTGCATACTGACACAAAAACATTAATGATATTTACTAACATATTTTATTCGATTTAAATATTGTTTAAACTACACCAAAAACTCCTTTTACTATGTATTTTTACTTGATTTTAATTGAAAAATTTCAAAAACACATTTTTGGACTTTATTCACATGTTTAAACAATTAAATCACTGATATTTTGTGAATTACATTTAAAATGTTTTCATATTGTTTTTCAATATTATTTGAAAAGTCACTAAAAAACAGATGTTAGCTGACAACAGTTGATGACATTCGCTAACATTTTACACTCTCTAGCAGAATATTCGACAGAAGATTACAATCATTAACATACTTCATTTAGATCACTACATTACATCACTTCATCACTCTAAATTGAAAAATAATCTAAATTATTATTTTAATAATTCATTTACTCAAAGTTCGAAATTATTAATTATATAAAAACAAATTACTTCTAACTTGTGTACATTTACATCTCATATTCAGAAATCTATCTACGTGCAGTTATGAGACTGACACATCAATATCCTAATAGTAGACAAATAAACATGCTCATCTGTTTACAGCTAGAATATTTCACAGGCCTTAGTACAGAACAATGTCAGTGAATTAATATTCAATAATGTTATCAGATTGAAATAAAATGTATCTGTTTTGGGTAGTGTTCAAATGAAAATCACTTATGTGTAAATTATATTATTTTACTTACATTCTTTGTTAGACTAAAAACATCATCTACATACCACCATTGTTATAGAAACTTATTACCAATAAATTCCCATTCACAATTATTTTTATTATAACATTAAAAATACATATATACCTATGGATACTTTCCATAAATATTTCTGCTGTTTAATGCTGTTAATGACAACCGTTATATAAAAATGGCATTATTCCAGTATAATATCCTTTTAAAAAAAAAAACGTTCCAAAACGCCTGTATCGTTAATTCAAGTTTAAAGTTCAGAGTTCGATTTTTTATGTTTTTTCTTGATAAACGTCATTGAATATGACCGAAAACGTTAGAATTTAATAAATATGGCTGCATATTTAAAGGTTTTCTTGAGTGTGTTTAGTTAATGCTGTTAAATAAATGTTGAAAATGTGTCATGTTATTTTAGAACCATGAAGCATGTTCCCTATCTCATATGACACCACTGCTTTATATCAAATATAAAAACATAATATTAAAATTATTCTCATACAGATTTTTGTTTTTATTAAGATGACAAAACCAATAAATTATTCAATCAGTCATAAGATAAGTTTGCAGAGAAAGTGCAAAAATATTATGTAATTTTGATCTGGTGGCTCTACCGTTTCAATGAAAAGACTTCTGAAATGTTAACATAAAAAGTTTAATGAACAAATTTAAATAAATTTCTCAAAAAACAGAAATACTTTTATAATGAATAGAATTACTCATCATTATAAAATTAACATGACAATACAAAATATTTCCTTCAATTCTTTTTCAAACTGTTAAAAACTGATTTCATGAACACTATTTTCAATATATTCAAAATATAATTCATGTAATTTAAATAGGCATTTTAATGAAAAAATTAACATTCTAATTTTATACAAATATATAGGCTACACCAAACAGTGAAGCAGTAATAATGAAAACTTTCATAATTTTTCAGAAAAAACAAATCTATGATGATTAGCAGAAGAAAAACAGCTTATGTGAGTCTGAATGGTAGAGACAAGTGCAATATTAAAATCCAAAATGCAACGCTTCCTGTGGTTAAAAGGTTTAAGTATCTAGAGGCCTTTGTCAAAATGGAGGAAGGTTTGAACTCAAAAGTGCAACATAGAATACAATGTAAATGGCTGAACTGGAGGATATTGAGCAGTGTGTTATGTGACAAGAATGTTAGCAGTAAACTGAAAAATAAATTACACGAATCAGTTGTTATACCTGCAACGTTGTATGAGGCTAAAACATGGGCAATCACAAGAACCCAAGAAAAAAAGATGGAGGTGGCAAAGAGGCAGAAATAAAAATTTTGAAATGGATGTGTGGAGTATCAAGGAAATATAGAATATGGAACAAGTTTATTATAGGTTCTATTGAAGTGGGACTCTTGAGCAGGAAGATGCAAGAATGCAAGTTGAAGTGGTTTGGCCATGTAGTGCAAAATGATGAACATTATGTTGGTAAGAAGGTAAAAAAACTAATAGTGAAAGAAAGGAGGAAAAGAGGAAGACCAATGCTGCAGTGAAAAGATAAAGTGGAGGAAGTCTAGAAACAGATTAGACTTAAGAGAGAAGAGGCCCTTCATAGGAAAAAATGAATGAAACATATTACAGAAAAAAATGCTGACCCTATATAAACATAGGAAAAGACAAAAATTAAAAAAATAAAATAAAATAAAATAAAAAATAATATTTTAATTGAAATACTTAATGTTTTCATGTAGTGTTTTATTTCAGAGTTCAATATACATAATTACATTCACAGTTCTGTAGTTTGAATTTTTACTTATATCAAAATTGTACCATCTTACTGATATCAATTGTTACATTAAAAATAATGTGTAGAATAGATAGTCTAATAATTATAAACACTTATTTCCACTTATAAATTCTCATTATGAATTATTTAAATTTTTATTATTATAATATAAATATATATAAATACCTGTGGCTGTTTTCCATTCACATTTCTATTTTTAAATGTTATGTAAACAATTACTGAGATGCATTTCACCTGAAATAAAAAATTGATTTAAAATTTTATATAAATTATAACTTCTAAATATATTTAATACTTCTATTTTTTACATTACATTCAACAAATATAGCTGATAAACAATAAAAATATAACCAAAACCTACTTAGGTGAAACACAAACTATAAAATGATTCCAGCACATATTTATTACAAATATTTTTGATCATATTTAATGATCATTCTGAGATAAAAATTAATTAAAAAATAAAAATATATTTTAAAAGTAAGCAAACCAAAAAATCATTAAATTCAGAACATAGCAGAGAACATTAAAATAGTAAAACTAATTGTATTTCTCCTTATTCGGGTTCAAAAATAAGTCAATGCTTTTTCCTGCATTAATCTTAATGTACAGTACTTATCAGAAAATTTCAGTTTATCTGACATGACTGCAATAAAACGATTCAAATTTTTGTCTTTTTCTTTAATTTCATATGTTGTACCCTGTATCCTATATATAAATAAGTTTATTTTATTTTTCTTACATTTATAATAATGATAATAAGTATAATAATAAAATAATAATGTTTGTTTACTTTTCTTGTAATTATTACATCTGTTTAAACATCCTTTGAAAAATTTATAGAAAAAACTTACTACATAACTTTATGAAAATTATATTTGTAAATTTCACATACTAATCAATGAAATTTGTTTCTGTTACTAGATAAAACTGACAAGTTACTAAGCTTATCGATAACCAACAGTACCTGCCAGATAAGGCATGAAATAGAAAAGTGAATTAGAATTAAAATTGGAATTTAACATCATTTTTTAAAAAAAACACTTGTAGCCTGGACTTTGAAAAATATATTGACACTCCTAACACTAACTACTACGAGTAAACTAAATTACAAAATTTATTTATATTCATATATCACATTTAACGCAGTAAATACAATAGAACTCAATTAAAAAATTCATAAGAATTTCATAATCCTGAATCTACAGGTGTATAGGAATGCTTCTGGTAATTCAATAATCCAAAACTATAATTTAATTATGTTTGTTTTGATTTGGTTGATTACATAAATGCATTTTGGGCAAATTTACATTTTATGTCCCCCACATTAGTAACTAAAATTATTAAGAGTTAGGTGTAAGTACAAAATTAAATAAAAATACTGATAATGAAACTGAACATACCAGTAATTCTTCCTTTCTATTGAATCAACCTTCTCCTTAAAACCAAAAGCACACAAATAATGATATAGAACATAAGATGTGTTTCAAATTTATATGGACACCTAAAAATTAAAGTGAAACCCAAATTTGCTGCATTACGTGACAAATGTTTTATTAAAAATAACATGGATTTACATGTTTCCACACTGCAAAATAAGAATTTTAATCAAACATTAACATTTTGTCACTGAATATAATATTTTTGAAAATTTTGTACAAAAAACTGTTACATATTTATCCGGACAAGCACTCATTTCATGACTTAAATATAATATTCTTTAGTTTCAAGCATTGAAATATGCAAATCAGCTTACATATGTAATTGTAATGCAAATTCTTTATGTTGTTCAACGTTCTAAAATGGGTAAAACAAAAAATTTATCTTATTATGAAAAAGAGCAGATTGATGCCTATAAATCACAAGGCAAGTCAATAAGAGAAATTGCAGCATATATAAATCATCCAAAATCAACTGTTGGTGATTATTTATCAAAAAGACGTGGCTAGAATGTATCAAAATTCAAGACAGGTCCAAAACCCGAGCTTATACCTTGAGATTGAAGACAAATCATCAAGGTTTGCTCCACTAAACAAACATCAGAAAAATAAAACAAGAATTACACTTACCTTGTAGTAGCACAACAGTGTAAAGAGTTTTAAATAAATCTCCAACATTAAAATTCAGAAAAAAAGCTATAATGCCACCACTTTCATTAAAGCACTAAAGTGACAGACTTGATTGGGCACAAAAACACATGAAATAGTCCAAAGAATGAATTGAAGTTTTGTTCAGTGATGAAAAACAATTCATCTTAGATAGTCCAGATGGTTGAAAGTATTATTGGCACGATTTAAGAACCGAAAAACAAATATTTTCAGAATGCCAAATGGGTGGGGAATCAATAATAGTGTGGAGTGTGTTTGGATTCAATGAAACCACAGATTTAGCATTTATTGTAAAATATTGCATATTGATCATTTAGCATTTATAACTCAAAGAATGAATTCAGAGAAGTATCAAGGCATGCTTGAAGATAATTTATTAAAAGCTGGACCAAATTAAATCTTTCAATAAGACAATGCCCCTGTGCATGCCTTTAAATCAACAAAAATTTGGTTTAAACGTAAAAATATTAATCTGATGACATGGCCTGCTAGAAGCCATGACCTGAATCCGATGGAAAATCTTTGGGGGATAATGGTTCGTATAGTTTATGCCAATAAAAAGCAGTTTTCCACAATTCATGATTCGAAGGCAGCAATTTCAGATACTTGGGATAAACTTAAAATTGAATTCCTTCAGAAACTAATTGAAACAATGCCTAATCGCGTATTTAATGTAAGTAAGTTATATGGTGCTTACATTGGCCATTAAACTGTAGGAAAACTTTGCAAATTGAAACCTGTCCGGATAAATATGTAACAATTTTTTTGTACAAAATTTTCAAAAATATTATTTTCAGTCACAAAATGTTAATGTTTGATTAAAATTCTTATTTTGCAGTGTGAAAACATGTAAATCCATGTTATTTTTAATAAAACATTTGTCACTTAATGCAGAAAATTTGAGTTTCACTTTAATTTTTTCGTGTCCATATAAATTTAAAACACACCTTACTTCATACTGACACATATACATATATAATCAACGAATATTTAACGAATAAACGCACGTTTAACAGTTTTTGTATTGCTCGTTCTAATTTTAGGTTTGATTAGGAGGGAAGAGAGCACCTTCGTTTTTTACTTCCAGCCCGGAGTAAAAACTGAGTGTCTCTTGAATAGCTCAAAACTCGAATTCAACTTATATACCAAGTGAAACCACAGATCAGAGGGTGTCATCGCGTTCTTGCCATTATCTAAGCTTACAGCTAAGACTTTTTTCAAAACTTTGCTAAAAATTCGACTGGCCAGTCGACTCGCTAATGAAATTCTGAGAATCGACTTTTTCGATTATACATATTTGTGTAATAAGTCATATTAATTAAACGCCAATAAATGATTTCGCACGTAATCATTTTCGCCCTCTATCGGCGTGTTTCGTTACTACCAAATTTTTGCCAAATGCAAATTGCAATCGACCGAGTGAAACTTGTGTTATCAATTTATAAGAAAAAAATAATAATAATAATAATAATAAAACATTCAAAGCAAAATCAATCACTATATAAAAATCCAATCCCATTTCAGCAAATATCCATTATCACAATAGAACNATTGAAGTTTTGTTCAGTGATGAAAAACAATTCATCTTAGATAGTCCAGATGGTTGAAAGTATTATTGGCACGATTTAAGAACCGAAAAACAAATATTTTCAGAATGCCAAATGGGTGGGGAATCAATAATAGTGTGGAGTGTGTTTGGATTCAATGAAACCACAGATTTAGCATTTATTGTAAAATATTGCATATTGATCATTTAGCATTTATAACTCAAAGAATGAATTCAGAGAAGTATCAAGGCATGCTTGAAGATAATTTATTAAAAGCTGGACCAAATTAAATCTTTCAATAAGACAATGCCCCTGTGCATGCCTTTAAATCAACAAAAATTTGGTTTAAACGTAAAAATATTAATCTGATGACATGGCCTGCTAGAAGCCATGACCTGAATCCGATGGAAAATCTTTGGGGGATAATGGTTCGTATAGTTTATGCCAATAAAAAGCAGTTTTCCACAATTCATGATTCGAAGGCAGTAATTTCAGATACTTGGGATAAACTTAAAATTGAATTCCTTCAGAAACTAATTGAAACAATGCCTAATCGCGTATTTAATGTAAGTAAGTTATATGGTGCTTACATTGGCCATTAAACTGTAGGAAAACTTTGCAAATTGAAACCTGTCCGGATAAATATGTAACAATTTTTTTGTACAAAATTTTCAAAAATATTATTTTCAGTCACAAAATGTTAATGTTTGATTAAAATTCTTATTTTGCAGTGTGAAAACATGTAAATCCATGTTATTTTTAATAAAACATTTGTCACTTAATGCAGAAAATTTGAGTTTCACTTTAATTTTTTCGTGTCCATATAAATTTAAAACACACCTTACTTCATACTGACACATATACATATATAATCAACGAATATTTAACGAATAAACGCACGTTTAACAGTTTTTGTATTGCTCGTTCTAATTTTAGGTTTGATTAGGAGGGAAGAGAGCACCTTCGTTTTTTACTTCCAGCCCGGAGTAAAAACTGAGTGTCTCTTGAATAGCTCGAAACTCGAATCTACTTATATACCAAGTGAAACCACAGGTCAGAGGGTGTCATCGCGTTCTTGCCATTATCTAAGCTTACAGCTAAGACTTTTTTCAAAACTTTGCTAAAAGTTCGACTGTCCAGTCTACTCGCTAATGAAATTCTGAGAATCGACTTTTTCGATTATACATATTTGTGTAATAATTCATATACACGCCTATAAAATATTTTTCTCGTAATAATAATTTTCGCCCTCTATCGGCGTGTTTCGTTACTACCGCTGAAATGTTATTTTTAGGTAATTGAAATTGAAATCGAATAAATGAAATTGCCTTCATTTTTTAAAAATTAATTTATATTTGTTAAATTATCTATAATAAATCGATTTTTTTATTATTGCTTTACTTTTTTATGTAATAAATATAAAACATAACTTTATTATTTCATTATCTATTTAAATAACATTCAAACTTCACAATTAAGCATGAAAACTCATTCATTTTTAACAAAAAATATAATAAATAACGTTTAAAATTCATAAATGAACAAATAATATTGGAAAACAATTTATTGAGATTTCTGC